ACCCAGGGGATGGGAGGGGGGGGGAGGCGTGGGAATTACCTGTGGTGAGGGCAAGGGCGTGGGAAGCTCCGTCCCGTTGTGGCCGCCATGCAGTTATGGTCGCCTTATCGGCGGCCGCAGGACGGCCGACCAACGGCCTTTATTTGTCTATAAGCCAAGCTAGGCCAGCGTTCTATAACACCTGCTCTTTACTGGTTTTTGTCGGGTTTTGCTGGATTATTGAGTATTTAGATTCGTTTATTTTATATATTGGGGCTCGGTGCTTGGTTAATTAGTATGGAACTTTATTTATTGAATGTAATGAGGCTTGAGTTCTTGAATTTTTTGAGGGTTGGGTCATGGTTTATTGAATTTAGCGAGACTTTGGGCTTGATTTATTATATATATGAGGTTTTGGCTTGAATTATTGCATGCATATATAATCTCAGCTTGAGCTGACCTTAGGTTGAGGTGACCTTAGGTGAAGGTGACCTTAGCTCGNGCTATATATATAAATTTCCCTCCTTTCATAAGATTTTGATCAATTAATTCAGTGAACATATCATCATGAATGATAGTGCTGTCTCTTATACACATCTAGATGTGTATAAGAGACAGCAATATGGCAGCGTGGATGTCAAACATTTCCCACCCTCCCGTTTAAGTGGCCGAACACTCGCGTTTGTCAAGTGTCAGCCACCGCCATCAATCATCCATGTTTGGCGAGCTTCGTGGTGGATGTTTGCTCTCGTTAATGGGGCGTGCATGGATGAAACCTGCGCAGTGCACACAGAAAAATGAATGGATCGTAATGTCCTAATAATGACACGCTGTTTTATCTACAGCACGAGCATAGAACAGACGCTGCACTGTTACCCTCTCGTGTCGAGCCAAACTAGGTGGTCGAGTGTATCGATATTTGGACAATTATCTTTTTTGTTCTGCGAGTGCTCACTCTTGTTGTGAGTGCAACTTTGTATTTATTTTTCAATATCCTTAACAAAATTTAGATGTGAGCTGGGCTCGACCAAAACCCGAATCCTAAGACTCAGGGACCAAGCAAATCAGCTTCTCTATATCCGCTTCGGCTCAAGGTTCGAAGGGCAGCGTGTGAGCTCGGCGTGACTATAGGCTCGGCCAACCCTTGTCATACTCTCTCGCGACTGTTAATATCCAGTCTATAAGTATAATCTGGCCAGAAGCTTATTTCGATCGGTTGGCCAAGCATGCTTGGACCCAGAATAAGTTTGCGCCGAGTGTAGCGACTATTCGGCCAGAGGCCTAGGCGGCCACTGAATTCTGTTAGGGATCATTGTTGATCCCTAACATAATTGCCTTTGTTCTGCTTTTAATAACAGAATTTTTGTTCTCCTCAGGTGAGTGGCAGCACGTATGTCCTGCACTACCCCGCGCGTGAGTAATTGAACTAGAGGTGCTTAAGGATTGGAAAGACAAAAATCTTGAACCTGGAGTGGTGGTCAAAAAATAGCAGGACAATTTCCAATCTAGAGTTTTGTTTGTAAGTTAGCAAAAGAAAAATATTTAAACTATAATGATGTTTGCAGAGTAGCAGGAGAACTAGACTCGTATAAAAGCTTGCTTGCAGGTTACAGGCGGGGCCGTGCAAGTTGTATTCAGTGTAGTGGTAGTAGTTGTAATATTGGCAGTAGTTGCAATAATGGCGCGCTGGTACTAGTGACAGTAGGAGTAATGGTAGGCTGGTACTATTAATGACGTAAGTTGTAGTAGAACAAAAGTGGCTATAGTGTTACAATGGCAGTGGTGGTGGCAATTGTATAGCTGCAATATTTGCAGCAGAAGTAGTATGGTTGATAAGCATTTCAACGAACAAGGCGTTAACAAAATTGAAAAGAGTTGTTGTTGTTGTTGTTGTTGTCGCCGTTGCTGTTTTGGTTGTGCCGAGAAAGCGAGATGCTGAATCTGTTCTGCTTCCTGCCCAGCCTTTCTTGTGGCCCTTCCTGCACCACCTGTCCCAGCCCTGTCTCCTCTCCCTGCACCACCTGTCCCAGCCTTGTCTCCTCTCCCTGCACCACCTGTCCCAGCCCTGTCTCCTCTCCCTGCACCACCTGTCCCAGCCTTGTCTCCTCTCCCTGCACCACCTGTCCCAGCCTTGTCTCCTCTCCCTGCACCACCTGTCCCAGCCTTGTCTCCTCTCCCTGCACCATCTGTCCCAGCCTTGTCTCCTCTCCCTGCACCACCTGTCCCAGCCTTGTCTCCTCTCCNGCTGGGGTGTTGTGGGAGGCTGGGGTGTTGTGGGAGGCTGGGGTGTTGTGGGAGGCTGGGGTGTTGTGGGAGGCTGGGGTGTTGTGGGAGGCTGGGGTGTTGTGGGAGGCTGGGGTGTTGTGGGAGGCTGGGGTGTTGTGGGAGGCTGGGGTGTTGTGGGAGGCTGGGGTGTTGTGGGAGGCTGGGGTGTTGTGGGAGGCTGGGGTGTTGTGGGAGGCTGGGGTGTTGTGGGAGGCTGGGGTGTTGTGGGAGGCTGGGGTGTTGTGGGAGGCTGGGGTGTTGTGGGAGGCTGGGGTGTTGTGGGAGGCTGGGGTGTTGTGGGAGGCTGGGGTGTTGTGGGAGGCTGGGGTGCTGTGGGAGGCTGGGGTGCTGTGGGAGGCTGGGGTGCTGTGTGAGGCTGTACGAAGTATTGATTATAACATAATAATTTGGGATCTGTTGCTCGTGAAGCTAAAGCTATTGTCAGGGATCATTAAATTAATATCGACTCGCATAAAATGTTCAATAATTACTTCACTTGATATAATTGAGCATTTAATTATATTTTTGTGGAACGCCGTACCCGTGACTGTAACGGACACGTTGCCTGGACCAGTACCCGTACCCGTGACTGTAACGGACCCGTTGCCAGGGCCAGCACTCGGACCCGTGACAGTAACGGACCCGCGGTCACGACGTTCCCGTGGCACCCACGTCTATACAATCAATTAAGATGCCTGATTTAAGTATATATCATCAATATATTATCAAGACTATGAATCAAATGGGGCATGGTAATGCCTATCATTGAAGGGGTCATTACGAAGGCTCATCATTATCCCATGTTCAGTGATGGCAGAGAACGCCCTGCGTGAGCCCGTTGCCTGCACGTCTTGGGTCGAGCAATAGTTACGAGTTCGTAACTCCGAGCACGTCTTGGGTCGAGCTGGCAGGAATAGTTACGAGTTCGTAACTCCGAGCACGTCTTGGGTCGAGCTGGCAGGAATAGTTACGAGTTCGTAACTCCGAGCACGTCTTGGGTCGAGCTGGCAGGAATAGTTACGAGTTCGTAACTCCGAGCACGTCTTGGGTCGAGCTGGCAGGAATAGTTACGAGTTCGTAACTCCGAGCACGTCTTGGGTCGAGCTGGCAGGAATAGTTACGAGTTCGTAACTCCGAGCACGTCTTGGGTCGAGCTGGCAGGAATAGTTACGAGTTCGTAACTCCGAGCACGTCTTGGGTCGAGCTGGCAGGAATAGTTACGAGTTCGTAACTCCGAGCACGTCTTGGGTCGAGCTGGCAGGAATAGTTACGAGTTCGTAACTCCGAGCACGTCTTGGGTCGAGCTGGCAGGAATAGTTACGAGTTCGTAACTCCGAGCACGTCTTGGGTCGAGCTGGCAGGAATAGTTACGAGTTCGTAACTCCGAGCACGTCTTGGGTCGAGCTGGCAGGAATAGTTACGAGTTCGTAACTCCGAGCACGTCTTGGGTCGAGCTGGCAGGAATAGTTACGAGTTCGTAACTCCGAGCACGTCTTGGGTCGAGCTGGCAGGAATAGTTACGAGTTCGTAACTCCGAGCACGTCTTGGGTCGAGCTGGCAGGAATAGTTACGAGTTCGTAACTCCGAGCACGTCTTGGGTCGAGCTGGCAGGAATAGTTACGAGTTCGTAACTCCGAGCACGTCTTGGGTCGAGCTGGCAGGAATAGTTACGAGTTCGTAACTCCGAGCACGTCTTGGGTCGAGCTGGCAGGAATAGTTACGAGTTCGTAACTCCGAGCACGTCTTGGGTCGAGCTGGCAGGAATAGTTACGAGTTCGTAACTCCGANGGGTCGCTACGTGTACTAGGGCCGCTACGTGTACTTGGGCCGCTACGTGTACTAGGGTCGCTACGTGTACCATATATAGGGCCGCTACGTGTACTTGGGTCGCTGCGTGTACTTATAGCGAGTCTTGATAATAAGGCTGCCGAGGGTGTGAGTATATCTGAGCCACTTGGGGCCTTGACACTCCCATAGCTCAATTATATCGAGCTATATTATGTAGCTCATTTATATTATCAATTATATCGAGCTATTATGCTTAATTTGTTACAGTCAGGTATTTGCTGTAGGTTGGCGCCATCTTGATCCTGTTCCGTCCGCTCATGTTTTTTGAGCTAATACTCAAATAATAATTGTTATTATAATTAACATGTTTCTAGTCCAGATTGCTCACACAGATACGCGTGTAAGATGACTGGAAATGTTATAGTTTGCACGCCGGTCAGTATACGAGTTACACGCTGCAGTTACGTGTAACTGTGATACAGCCGCAGCGCTTTACTGCGTTACTTTAACAGCTCTTATTACTGTACAGCTGTTACTGCACTTATTACTGTCTCACGTTAACGGCTCAGTTATTGCTTATCCTCTACTTCCGCATGACACACCTGTCACCTGCCTCTCTAACCTGCTGCTGGTCGCCTCAGTCTTCCCAGTGTACTGCCTATTGCCTCTAAATCAATACATGCTACCTATGTCGTAGTCATGTTTATTAGTGGCTTACTAAGTCCACGGCCAACGCCATGTTGTACAATAATAACGGGCTTCTAGATGGCTTAGTTTCGTTATTTGTGTCGTCATTATTCTGCTCTATCTCTAAATACCTAGTTCTGTCTGGGTTCTGGATACCAAGATTTTATCATTATTCTGGATACCATAATTCTGCCAGGGTTCAGGATACATAATTCTGTTAACATTTCTGGATACCATAATTCTGCCAAGATTCTGGATACTATAATTCTGCCTGTGTTCTGGACATCATAATTCTGCGATGGTCCTGGATAAACCTGCCCAGGACGGGCGCTGGACGACTGCTGGAAGGCCCCTATATAAGGGCGCTGGATGACTGCTGGACGGGCCCTAAATGGGCGCTGGACGACTGCTGGACGGGCCCTATAAGGGCGCTGGACGACTGCTGGACGGGCCCTATAAGGGCGCTGGACAACTGCTGGACGGGCCCTATAAGGGCGCTGGACAGCCACGCGTCGCTCTTGAGTTTCCTCCGCCGCGGACTGACCGCCGCCGGCAGCCAAGACGTCCGCTTTCCGCCACCGAGGAAGCACCTGCCACGCGTCTTAGTATTTTCCGGCACACACAAATTTGTAACTATGACCATGTACGATCAGTCGTACAAAATTACGCAAATATTCGCATAAACTTCCATGAACATGCGCGGTCATTCGTACGAACTTACGCAAATATTCGCTTAAACTTTCATGAAAATGCGCGATCATTCGTACAAAATTACACAAATATTCGCTTAAATTTTCTTGAACATGCGCGTAAACATCAGGAACATTCACTACAACTCGCACAAATAGTCGCACGAAGTTCCATGAATTCACGCACGGAAAGCGTTTAAAGCCCGTACAAATTATCCTCATAATGCAGATTGTGTCCACGCGCGAGATAGATGCGGTACGACGTACGTGTGCAGGCATTCATGCGTACACGAAGATATCGTATGCACACGACTGTTGCCATGACGACTACTGTTGCCACAGTGACGGCTGTTGCCATGTCGACGAGTGTTGCCATAGTGACGGCTGTTGCCATGACGACGCCTGTTGCCATGACGACGCCTGTTGCCATGACGACGGCGATGTTGCTCATGTTGTAGCGCGTATCACAACATAACTGAATATCACCATCATGAAAATCACCTCCGCTCCTCCACATCCAGATTATTCACCTTCAATGACTTTATTCCACAATCAGTGTGTAATGGATATTGTTGACATAAATTTAATTGAGAACAAACGTACAAACAAGCATACCTAGAAATATGCTGAGTAAAATAAAGAAAAGATAACAAAAGTTAATAGGTTTAGTTAATGAAGGGAAGCGAGCCACGATGCTGCCTTCGGCACAACCGCCACACTCTGAGAAATGTGTGAGACTTTGTCCTGATAACGATGCACTTCTGGAATTTTTATACGTCATCCTGATATAGTTTAGTCTGTACCAGGGCATATCTGTGCTAAATGTGGAATATATGGCATTATTTTGACAATATTACCAATCAATTTCCAGATTGCAAGCTATTAAAAAAATTATAGCCGCGTTATCTGCGGCCACGCCTCGAATATTGAATGGCTTAATGTAATCTCTCAAGTAAATGACGTTGAAGAAACGTTGATTACGAGTTGATGTTGTTGAAACAACGTTTAAAGACCTTCTCTCAACATCACATACGTCGTCATGACCCTAGCAAATGTTGTGAACATACGACACGTGTGTTGTGGTGTAGGCAGGATACAAGGCATTCGCTGCTTGATATACAGGGATTTTTACATCACTTGTATCGCTTCTTAGTACTGCTTCACATCTATACTTCTACTTATCAATGTTGCTTTTTATTCTCGGCTCTTTTTTACATCTTTATTTCCTCTTTTCGGTACCTTTTCACAACTCTAATTCCTCTTTTGCTGTACTTTTTTACCTCTCTATTTATTTCCTCTTTTCGATACTTTTTTACATCTATCTTTCCTCTTTTTGGTATTTTTACATCTGTATATCCTCTTTTACTGTAGGGACTTTTTCCATCTCCAGTCTCACACCTACACAAAAACTATTTTTTACGTCGTTTCGGCGGCCGAGGTTCGCGCCAAAGGAACCGGTCAAGCTTGCAGTTTGGCGCGCTGCCGTGAACCAGCAAGATCTGTTCACCCTAATTGAGAATCAAGCTCAATTATTGCCGGCCAACTCTGGCTGGACTTCTTAGTCTCACAAACAAAAAGTCCTTAAGTCCTGGAAGCCGTCGTTTAGAGAAGAGTCTTGCATCAGGCAAGCTGGTGAGCGTGAGTTAGGTTGTCTGGAGTCACTCTCAACCCCTCCTCACAGTCCCCCTACTCTCCCTAACCCCCCAAACAATCCACTACTACCTGCAGGCAGGACTTACGTTCCCACCCCCTCTCCATCTTACCTGTTTCCCTCTCCACTACCTCCTCCTTCTTACCTGTTCCCCCCTCCACCATCACAACTACTCCGCGTCGACGCGGAGACGGAGAGGTCAAGTGAGCTCAGTGTGCCTTTGGCGGTCGTGAGAGGAGGTGCGCCGCGTGTGCGCTCTGACACACCTGTGTTGCTAACTCATCTATAGCCATTCCGTGCTTCAGTGACCCGCCCCCTTACCACCTAACACTTCTTGCCTGATCTTATTGACCTTTGTGAGGGGCCACGTGAAGTGTCATAGTGGAATGGTTATATCAAAAGACCTGCATGATATAGTAGCGGCAGGTGCTTGTGAGTGGTCAGGTCCGACCTGTTATTGTCGCGCGGAATAGGTAATAAGGGGCAGAACTTGTGTTGTTCGGGAACAGTTGCAGTTGTGAACAGTTATACTGATTACAAGAACAGTTATTTTGATATGGAACAGTTGTGAACAGTTATACTGATTACGGGAACAGTTATTTTGATATGGAACAGTTGTGAACAGTTATACTGATTAAGAATAGTTTTGTTGATGGAGAACGATTGTACTGCTAACTGATGTTGAGCAGCTGTATGTAAATATAGCTTTTCCCTCCTTGCATGAGGTTTTAATCAATTAATTCAGTGAACATATTATCATGAATGATAGTGTCCCGCCTGCTTAACATCCTCTACTCCGAACATCTTTGAGCTGCACACCAGCACATCAATTCTGCATCATCACTGAAACATTAGCTCTACAACACCACAAACACCACAACATTCATGCCACACCGCCACAGCATTCACGCTACACCGCCACAGCATTCACGCTACACCGCCACAGCATTCACGCTACAACGCCACAGCATTCACGCTACAACGCCACAGCATTCACGCTACATCGCCACAGCATTCACGCTACACCGCCACAGCATTCACGCTACACCGCCACAGCATTCACGCTACACCGCCACAGCANAGCGCCCAACTCCACCGTTAGCGCCCAACTCCACCGTTAGCGTCCAACTCCACCGTTAGCGTCCAACTCCACCGTTAGCACCCAACTCCACCGTTAGCACCCAACTCCACCGTTATATAGCCCCAAAATTCTCCGTTATCGCGCACGGCCTAAACTTTTTTCGCAGTTTTACTTGATCGCTGAATTTCTGCAAGGAAACAGGTTAGACGCGAGCAAACGTTGACTGATATCGCGTGCTTTTGTTTGGAACTCTCCACTGCGGCTGTTGGTTTAGCGTTGGTTGCAGAGCATTGGACTTGGTTGTTTGCTTCAGCTGTTGTTCACGTTTATTTCATCGTTATTGTTTGCTTTCGCTTTTGTTTGCATGTGTTTCCTCTCTTCCGGTGCCCCGCTGTTAACAATGTCATGGTCTTTGTCTTATCCTAAGTTCCATCATGTCTAGCCTTTGTAAGCCGCTCAAGACTTGCTCGTAAGCACCTTGATGAAAATCACAGCCAAATAATGTACATCCAAGCGTTTACAAATGACCGGCCACCCATAACTCGGCTATGATCTGGTCGGCTTAACCGTTCGACGTCAAGCATGATCAGTTCAAGGCGCATTTACACGTTGTAATTACAATCCCAGTTTGAAGAATTTTCCGCTATTGGATGATTTTAATGGGAAGTAGTAGAGGAATTCTCCGACCGTTGAATATAATTTTAATGTGAGAAGTAGTCAATTTTTCTGTAATTTCATTATTTTATTGAAGAAGTAGAATTTTTCGTCCATTGACAATTTTATCGCAATAACTTGCACGAAACTATGTGTGTTCAAAGCTCGCGTAAATAACCGCGCATCTACGGCTAGTCGCATGCATTTCTCTTAAAAAAGGCTAATAATAACAATAATAACAATAATATTTGCTCACCTCGTATTTGCATCGTGTTAAACATGTCACTTTTAGCCCTCCTAATCAATTATTATCCATGTATTCCGAGAAAATTTAAATCAATTCTCCGGTAATTAAATTAATTAAAACTCTAGAGAAAGTTAATGAGAACTGCGCCCAATTTCCGCGTTCTCGTGTTGAGTTCAAACAAGCGGTTGCTGCTAGCGTCTCATGATTTCCTTTCATTTCTATCATATTTTAATCTGCCACAAATATCACAGTTAAGATCTGTCGTTATATTTGTAAAATATATTGAATAAAATATTTCACGTCTTAACTCTGACTGGCCTCTGTTTGTCTGACGTGCAACCGTCATGTGACGTTTTCATTATTTTTTATTAATTATTTATTTGCTATTAAACCAAATTCTTGAGCAAACAGAAAAATAAAGCCAAGCTTTTTTACGATGCATCGCGCAAGAGTAGAATTGAAAAGAACTTTAAATAACACTCTGAACGATGCAGAATTTTCTGTCACAATAAATATTTGCCGCTGTGTGCGATTTTTTAACCTTAATATGGCCTATAGCTTTAATTTTTTTCTCCCCTCTCCCTTCCCTCCTCTTCTCCACTAACGCTCGCCCCCTTTCAACTCCTACTAAAACTTTCCAACTGCTTGTTGACGTTATAGTTGCTTCCTCCTACATGCTTCTTTTGATATCAAGCTGTGCGTGTTAACCAGCTGCTACATTCGTAATTACACTTTTTGATTCGTTTGGAAAAACATTCGTGAATTTCGTGCGTGAGTGTGATAAGCTTTGTGTCACTCACCAACTTATATTGCAGGTGGGAACAAGATAACTTTACTCAGATCCCGAACTTTATTTAGTCGTAATCTCATACTTACATAATATATGAACCTTAAAAGCTTCGTGATGATATCGTCAAGTATAAGGAAAGTGTAAGAAATCTCGAGTCCAAACAAAGGAATGTTCAGTGATGACGTGCGTATAACTGCAATAAAGTTGAGAAGAAAGTTAGAAAGTTTTGAAGAGCAAGTATGTTGAACGCACAGGCCACCAGCCTTCAGAAGGCTCTACAGGTGAGTTCACGGGGCACTAGGTTAATGAGGTCACTCTTCCTCATGGTCAAGTTAAAAATTGCCTACGATTTTCTTACCATTACTTGTAATCTTAACTGAATGGTTTAGTGTTTCTTTATTCCACTTAAAATTAAGACTAAATTCTTCAGTGTATCTAAATTCCTCTTAAAATCTTATGCAAATCCTTGATACTTGTTCATTTTTAATTAGAATATTGACTGAATGTCTCAGATTTTTCATATTAATTAAGCGCTCTAATATAGACTAATCAGTTTCGAAATTTCTATTGAATTTGGGAAAAGTTTGTTTTTAATCTCTTAGAGTATCTTTGAGGTGTTACTAAATCTGCCCACTCGTACGGGAGTGTTTTTAAATTTTAATTTCAATAAAGCGTTTCGAGCAGAAGTTACCGTGAAGATATTCATTCTTTCTAAATGTGTATCGCATCGACTTGTTTAACAGCAATAATGTTTCTCCTCAGCTTTTGAATTTTTTGAGGATACGTACATATATTTAGTGGCCACGGCTATAAACTAAAAAACTGCGTTGTAACATATCCATGCGACAACATTTCTTCTCGCTTCGAGTCACCGACATGTGTAACAGTTCTCCCGATGACATCGTTGACGCTCCGAGTATGAACACCTTCAAGAACAGACTAAACAAAGCTATGCATAAGTTTATGCTCAGTCTTGAAATGCTTAGCACCTTACGGCACTATTTAAAGTCCAGGGATGATGTAAACAAACGTCAGTTGAAAAGATCTTGTCAAAAGGCCATTTTTATAAATCAGTGAACATGTCCCGAAGAGCACAGGAATCGGCATACAGGCCTAAGCGGACCTATTCCTTCAGCGCCAAAGATGATATGTTGTAAACAGTATTCTTTTTCATGATGCATTATCGACGATTCGTTAATTTATTTTTTCAGACGAACCCGAGCGAGAAATTTATTATGTGATGATATTAACATCATGGTTCTCCATCTTGGGCTTCTCTCGCACGGATCGCCTGTCGTTTTCACTGAGCAAATTAAATCGCTATACGCATTACAAAAATTTCAGATTACGAATTTTACACGCGAGTTTTAAAACTAGTCCTCCATAACCAAGTCATCTGACCCACGCTTACCCTCAACCTAGTCGTGCGACCCCCTCTTGCTCCACGCCCCTCTCCTCCCGTCGTGCCCGCCCGGAAATTGGTGCGATGAAACTCAGCGATGTCCAGTCAGCGATGCCCGGAAATTCTCACAACTACTAAATAATCCTCACATAGCACCGTATTCCTCCCTACCATCGCACTCTACTTCTCACCTATGTACTTTATTCTACCATCGCACCCTGCTCCTTGTTGGGTGCTTTTATATGATGTTGATACGTTGATGATGCATATAATGTTGATGTGTATGCGATGTTAACAGTTGGACCAATCTTTGGGAACGAACCGAATAAAATGATTTCAGATGGCAGAAAAACACGAGTCAAATCTTTACTTTAATGAAAATTTGCATAATGGTGACAATGCCATCATGATGAAATTTGCGCTGTTCTGCTCCTGCGTTACTGTGACGACTTCTCTTCACGGACCGCGAAGAGGAGCCGCCAATTAACTCGCCCCGCGTATGTCCAACTCGTAAGTTTGAAGAACTAAAATCGTGGTTATTTTAGGCGTTAAAAGCCTAAAAAAGAGGTCTTAAAAACAAGGTTGAATAAATTAATGCATCGTAGCGAATAGCACTTATAGCTAATGGAAGAAGGGTGCCATGCGTTCTGATTATAAAACATTAAAATGATTAAAACGCTCCTTCAAAGAGGCATATATATTGATTAAATGTATCATTCAAAAGGTAATGACAATTACGGGCTTATTATTTATCAGGGTAGCAAGTAAAATGAATAGAATTTTGTACCTTATGCTCCGATCCCCCGAATTTAGGGTGACGTACCTGAAGTACTAAAAAATCTCTGTATATGAATTACCGGTGCAGAGTTGGTACCCGTGGCTATAGTCCACACCCGCGCAGAGTTAGGTTGCCGGGGACAATATAGTGGTAGACTAACCATGTGGTGGCCAGAGGGGCTAAAGTAGTGGTAGATACTAGTGGTATAGGTGTCATAGAGCACACGACACAGGTGCTCTCGTCCAAAGTGCTGACCGTGCTCAGGCCGGGCTTCAAATAAAGGCTTTACTCCATAAGCTCAATTGAAGAACAGGAGCTGGACATCTTCACACCAGGATATCCTAGCGCACAGTGGTCGTAGAAGTCAAGACAAGAATTATGCGTACTAGCAGCACCCTGTGAGTTGTTGTTACGGAGTCGTGCAACGAACTGGCGAAAAATTCTTCAGAGAAGAGTCAAGAAAAGTAGGCGGACGGCATGTTATTTTCACCTTAAATATGCACACTGAAACTATTTCAACATCACCCAAATCATATGAGGCACTGAGCAAGTGTGGATATGAAATTTATGCCCGAAAATTTTCACAAATTAAAACTAAATCATAGTGTTCTGTTCAACATTAGGTTGAAGTGTACACGATGCTGAAATGATGTTGCTGACGCGTGGCTGCTGTGGCGCGGTGTGTCTGTGGCAGGGCGCAGGATGCGGCAACTTGATCCTGCGTGGCCGCAGCTGCTGCTCTTAGTGAACACTTTACCCTGCAGGATAGAGCTCAGCCAGTAAACCGATGTCAACGGCTAATATGAGGGATATCGTTATCAGAACACTGGGTTCATGCATGTCGCCACGGGAGAGAGGGTTCTCTGTAAAACATAAATCGCAATCGAGGGTATCGTGTGGACGTCCTTGGTGCTGGTGTCAGGTGAGGGTAGGTCACTACTACTCCATCTCCTACTGCTCCCTCATCTCCTACTACTCCCTCATCTTTGTTCCCTAGCCAAGGTTATCGCCGTGTCCCCTTGCTAGTTTTATCGAAGCGTCCCTTCGTTATTAGCGTGTCTTCTTGTCAGGGTTATCACCGCTCCTCAGGGCTGCTGCTGTCTCCCCTTGTGGTCTTGAACATTAAACTCTTTCCCCTGCAGGCGCCGTGGCTGCAACGATTCTATCGCTCGGTCAAGTTTCTCGCTTCAAGGTTGATTCGATTCAACTCTTTTTTTATTGTAGAAAACAAAGGAACTCCTTGCAACAACACGGATTCGCTGACCAGTTCTTCGCTTGTTGCACATTGTTTTTTCTGAACACTCATCAGCCTTCCAAGAACTGTTCCTGTCACGTGTTTATTGCATTACAGTTCTTCCCATCTCGCGCACTTCACGCACTTACCAGTTATTTTCTTCTGAAGTATGAAAATTAAAAAAAGTATCATACTAGGAAAAGAACCCACTGATGCGCGTTGATGTGTGGACACAAAGCCAGTTTTTCGGACACTTTCAGCGCTGGACGCGTAACACTTTCTCTGCTGCCTTCTCGACTGTCGAGTGACACCCACGCTGGAAGTGTTTACGATACTTTTGCTTTCATGCCACGCGGCGTCAAGCGTAAGGAGTGGAGGTGTTTCATATATATTCTTCATTTATCGCTTTGCAATCAAGAGGTTTTTCCCTGGCTGGTGCGGTGGAGGCTGAGAAATGTTTAGCGTTTATAAGTGAAGTGATTAGTTTTTTTTTGTGATGAACTCGTATATTAGAAAAAAGTACTAATGCGTGTTTTAGACTTTTTAGACTAGACTCTTCTTTTTTAGACTAGAGACTTTTTATAGAAAGATATGATGAATATATATTTTTTTGAAGCTTATATGGTGCCGACGTTTCGCGTGTCCCTCATTCCGCTGAACTCGTGAATCTGGAGGACTTTCTTATCACGTTGAATTAATTTTTTCTTTGTGTTGTTTTTGTACAATTGCTGGGAGTTCAGTGCGCTCTATTGACGTACACACAGAAAACAATGGGTTTCATTCACACAGACTATGTGTAAATGTTTGGTGGAAGAATGCCAACTTTCGAGTGCGCCTCAAATTCAATGCGTTGAGGTAAACGCGCGGAATGTGTGCGCACGCACGTCCAACATACATTGTATGGTGGCATACAATACAGGCCTATCTACTGAACACGTTATTGTGTGCTACAACAATTGAATACAATTGGATAGCACGACGCACACAATATACTAGTCTGCACAGTACGCTTCTAAATTGCACTGGCTGGCGATACATCACTGCAATCTGAATGCAATCCTCTTACAGCAACATGTACATTGACTGCAGCAACATGTACATTGACTTTATATACACTCGGTTCTTGATGTAATTTAAGGTTCTTGAGTTAATTGTTTTCGACGGATGGTTATGGATGCATGTCCCTTCATAAAATGGGTTTCAAAGTAATGATTAATTATCACCGTAATGGTCCTGCCATAGAATGTTCGCAATAATCAATGATCCTGTCTTGGAATGCTGGAATTCTTCGAGCTCCTGCTGGTCGGATTCCAGGAGACCACAACTGTGTTGCGCTGGACGCATTCCCGTTCCAGGTGCGCTGCTGCTGTTCCCCCGACATTTCTGCTTTGTGATGCTTTTATATATCATTCGTTTGTGACTATTATTCTTGTTTTTTTTTCGTGTGAATCAATTTTGGCTATAGGTACCTAATATACTTGAGTATTATTTTTTGGTAATATCCATAAGTTGATAACTAGCTATCTTCACCTGTCAAAGGTCAGTCATTAATTGCGTCACCGATTCCTATGAGTGTTTTTCCGTAGCTATAATAATAATAATAATAATAATAATACTAATAATAATGGGCTAACAATGCGCTTATTATTATTAGGTTTTCTGTGGCTGAGGCGAGCCGGCAAGGCCGTGACGACTCTCCGTAGGCCTGAAAAATTAGGTGGAGGGGGTGAGGGTATGAAGGTATGCCCTGAGATGAGGGGGGAGGGTTGGGGTAGCATGAGGGGTAGGGGGAGTGGTAGGGTAGTTAGGGCTTTGTTACCTGCGGTTGCGCCTCAGGTATAGGGAGGAACATTCCTGCCTCCAGGTAACATGGACGACACAGCGCTGGTGTGTGAGTGGTGTGTGCTTGTGTGAGTGGTGTGTGTTAGTGTGAGTGGTGTGTGTTAGTGTGAGTGGTGTGTGCTTGTGTGAGTGGTGTATGCCTGTGTGTTTGCATTAAGGTTCTGATGTGTGCATATCAATGTTCTGCTTCACTATGCACGCATTTACTAGATGCTCTAGTTTAGGCGAAGGCGTACCATCGCTTTTTCGAGTTGATCGAAAGCAACCGTTACATGCAGTGCTGTCGTTCAGCTGATGCACTGCATTTAGTTCATGCACTGCCTTCAGCTGATGCACTGCATTCAGCAGATGCACTGGTGAATAGATGCGCAGGTTTTTGGCTTATCATTAACATGTAATCGTAACTTACGTCATGAAAATAAATGACTAATGTTCTCTGAATAGCGACGTCTCGTTTCTCACTCACAGTGCGAGCAACTGCTGAAATAATCAGCAGTTGACTGAAGCGTAACATCGATGTTGCCTGAACTGCATGGTTATATACCTGACTTTTTCCCAGTCATTTGAACACCTTTTCCCCTTACTGACCCCTTTACTGACCCCCAGTGAACCCTTTATTGTGTTGCTAACATAAACACTTATTTATTACTTACCTTAATGTTCAGTAAGCCTATGAGTGAGCTGTTAACTGATCTGTTCATCTTATCAGTGAGCTCTTAACTGATCTGTTCATCTTATCAGTGAGCTCTTAACTGATCTGTTCATCTTACCAGTGAGCTGTTAACTGATCTGGTCGTTGAGCTATTTATTAATCTTTCTTACTGCCCTGCTTACTAAACCGTTTATTCACCTCTTTACTGAGCTGTTAACTGAGCTACCGACCCCCCACAGGAGCTGTTCAGTCAGCTGCAGTTCAGCCACGAGTCAGCGCTGCCGCCCGACGCGCTGAGACGCGCGCTGGCCCAAACCTTCTACAACCAACAGCGCTTCCAGCTCGGCTTCATGGACGACGCCGCTGAGTGCTTTGAGAACATCTTGCTTAGGATACACTTCCATGTGGCCAGCCATGAGCACGAGGACATGTGCAGTGCAAAGTGAGTCAAGTGTGCAGTGCAAAGTGAGTCAAGTGTGCAGTGCAAAGTGAGTCATGTGTGTGGTGCAAAGTGAGTCATGTGTGCAATGCAAAGTGAGTCAAGTGTGCGGTGCAAAGTGAGTCAAGTGTGCGGTGCAAAGTGAGTCAAGTGTGCAGTGCAAAGTGAGTCAAGTGTGCGGTGCAAAGTGAGTCAAGTGTGCGGTGCAAAGTGAGTCAAGTGTGCAGTGCAAAGTGAGTCAAGTGTGCGGTGCAAAGTCTGTCTCTTATACACATCTAGATGTGTATAAGAGACAGCCCCTAACCCCCCTCCCCCCGCAGACACTGCGTGCCGCACCAGCGCTTCGCGATGACGCTGGTGGAGCAGAGCGTGTGCAGCGCCTGCGGTGCGACGTCGGAGCCGCTGCCCTTCACGCAGATGGTGCACTACGTGTCTGCGTCTGCGCTCACTGCACAGGCGGGGCTGCTGCCCCCCACCACCAGACCCCTCGAGGTCTTCGGTCACCTCCTTAAGAAGGCGGGGGGCATGGGTGACATCAGGGACTGTCCGGTAAGCACATAAGCGAACAATTTTAATTGGACCCATAATTTCTCTGTGTGTTAGATGAAAACCCATGTTCCGATGCATTCTTGTCTTTTGAATGATAACTTTTACTTCTTTGTGCCATTTGTATGCGTTTACAATGTCAACTACACCATATGGCTTACCCATGTCTTGATACTCCACTCCTTCCTCGTAACTCATCTTCCTCCTCGTAACTCCACTTCCACCCGATTACTCCACTTCATCCTGATAACTCACCTTCCTCCTCATAACTCCACTTTAGCCCCAAAACTCCCCCCTCCTCTCTAACTCCCCTCCCTCCTGACAGAGCGCCTGTGGGGCGAAGATCCAGATCTGCCGGACCCTCATGAACCGCCCTGAGATTGTCTCCATCGGCGTCGTCTGGGACTCTGAGCGGCCGAGCCTCGACCACATCATGGCCGTCTTTGCAACGGTCGGCACCAAGCTCAAACTTCGCGATATTTTCCAAAGCGTCGTGGATGACAAATGGGCTCACAAAACCCAACACGAGTTGGTGGGCGTGGTCACGTATTACGGGAAACATTATTCCACATTTTTCTTCCACACCAAGTTGAGGGTGTGGATTTATTTCGATGATGCGACTGTCCGCGAGATCGGTCCTAACTGGGAACAGGTTGTTGAGAAATGTCGGCGTGGACATTTTCAACCTCTGCTTTTGCTCTATGCTAACCCTAATGGTAGCCCAGTGTCAGTTGAATCAGCGCCACACAAAATCACGTTTGTTGCCACTAACCATATCAAGGCCAACACTTGTATCCCGGCACAAAGCAACTTATTTCCTGACGCACCCATGAACCCTCGCCGTAACGAAGACAGAACCGACGGTGTCATCGGGACGCCGACGAGCTCGGACCAGAGCGAAAGCAACAGCGATGACGTCTTCGACGGACCTGCATCGTCGAACTACCAGCGTCAGGTGGACAGCATCAAGCAGACCGGCGGAGTCTTGCCTAACAAACCCAACATCGGTAGACCACGTGTAGAGGGAGACGAACCCGTCTACTCGTCACGCAAGGACACCCGGACGAGGGTGTCGACGATGGGCAGCGATGATGTGACTCGTGGAGTGGGCAGCACTTCGTCCTACGAACACGACGTGCTCAACATGCCTGACTCTGCTAACGTGCCTCGGAGACGTGACTCTGGCAACTGGAGTGGTGACAGGAACAGCGCTTCCTCCTCGTCTTCCACGTCCATGGAGAACAACTTCCCCTTCATCGTCGGCAAGCCTGGCAACTCGTCCAACTCCTCGTCGCCTTCCAAATCATCCACCTCTTCCACCGGGCATCCTGAGTACGCAAACCTCGGCATCGGCGTCCATCTTGGCAACAATCAGCCTACAAACAACGTCGCTTCTATAAATAACGTTATTAATAACAACTCACAAGTGCATCACAATAACCTGCAGCAACAACCAAGCCACAACAACAACAACAGTAATAGTACAGGTCATGCACCTGCCAACGATGCAGGTTACGACTCCTACTCGCTCTCGTCCAATGACTCGTACCCCCTGCAGCAGTCGCTGAAGCATAACTTGCAGGTGCGTGTCTAGGTTGTAGTCACAGAGAGAAATGTGCGAGATTTTGTCTAATGAATTTTTGCCGTTTTGGGAAAAAAGGCATATTAGTCATAGGTGTAAGTTTGTTAATCACGCTATAGATAAATATAAATATTATAACCTCGTTTTCATTATATTGAAACCAAACATTTCTGGGGGTGAGATACAAATATTTTCATATTCTTTGTAAATGAGTTTAAAAACTATATATTTTCTTAAACCTATATGTTACAAGTACTGTGCTCCGATAATCTTGTTTAGATTCAACAGTAATGAAACAAATTCAAGGATTAAATGAAACTTTTATTAAGGACAGCGGAATGTAAACTGACGTTAATATTGATATTCCACGAGCAGCTTCAGAAGATCCCTGAAGGCGATCAACAACCACACCAACAACAATCCCAATTACCTCCCCAACAACAAATGCCCCAACAACCCCATAAACAACAACCCCAGCAGCAGAAAGACCCCGGGGGGTCGGAGGGGTCGCTGCTGGGGGTTACGTGCGAGACGCTGTGCTTCACGGCGGACGCTCTGCTGGAGGAGGCGCGCGCCCTCGAGGAGGCTGGCGACTTGCAGGTCTGTCAGCAGCTCGTATTAATGATTATCATAATTTTTATCTTGTATTGTTGTTATCCTTGTTTAGGACTTCATGTCGGGTCTTTTCGTTCTTATCGTTTATCTTTATTGTTATTTTCATTAAAGAATCCACCTCAAAATATCAGGTTGGTGCATCCCGTCATAATTTCTTTGTTTGCGCGATTGTGTTACCGACACCGTGGCTAGATTTTGCAAACTAATACTGGAAATTGACTGCATTTATTGCTGCATTATATTTTCAAGGACACGTTTTGCCCTCCATTGCTACGTTTTTCATCCTAATTCCTCTTACGACATCCATGTTCATCCCCGAATTCACCACCGTCCCTTCATCCCACCCATATTCACTCCCCCCAGACCACTCTTATCATCACTCCCCCACCCATGTCATCACTCCCCCACCCATGTCATCACTCCCCCACTCATGTCATCATTCCCCCACCCGTGTCATCACTCCCCCATCCCTCTTCCAGGGCGCACTCCGCCTCTGTAACCAGGCGTCGGCCAAGACGCGCGCAGCCATGAGCGCGCCGTACAACAACGCGCAGTCGCTCACCTTCGCGCAGATGAAGCACAACACGTGCGTCATGCGCGGCCGCTCCCTGCACCGACGTCTCCTCATACAGGCAGAGGCTGCCGCTTGGGACGGCTCCTATAAAATAGGTAAGACCTTGGCAGATAGGTAACGGGTAAGACGACCGGTTCCTCTACAATAGGTAAGATGTTGCCTTGGCAGATAGGTAACGGGTAAGACCACCGGCTCATATAAGATAGGTAAGATGATGATGTTACCTTGAAAATGGGTATCAAATAACATGTAACAGGGTCGATTCCTATCAGTAGCTAAGATGACCTCTCATGTTCAGTGATATTAACAAATATGTATGGCGGCGATTTAAGGTCTATGTTTGATAATTAACTATGGATTCGGCAAACATAGGTTCGAATGATGTGCATTCATGTGAGATTTTTGTATTAATACACGTTTCTATTTTGATTATGTATCGTTGATGACGAAATTCTTATATGTGTTAATCCCCGGCTTCTCCTTCAGACGGTCCTGCTCAGCACAGCCGGCAAGGGTCGCGAGACTCGCAGCGATCTCGCGTGTCTCGCCAGAACTCTCGCGAGGCATCTGCCCATCACAGTCGTCAGGGCTCGCGAGACGCATCGAGCGGCGACACGGGCAACTTTAATGCCGCCGAGACCCTCGCGCAGACCGTCGAGAAACTGCAGTTGTCGAGCGCAGTCTCAGCAGACCGGGTGGCACAGCGAGACGGCGAGGTGCCAGGGTCTGTGCAAAACAATATCGAAATTTACGCCACTCTCCCAAAAAAGAAAGGGAAGAAGATCGAGAAATTGTCCATCGCTGTTCCTGTAACTTCGCCATCCAAGTGTGCCGAAGCAAATGTGAAAGCCAAGGATAAGAAAAACTCAGACAAGAAAGAAAAGAGCAAAGATAAAAAAAGCAAACACGGCGGCAAGTTGGAAGATAGCGACTATTCCAGTGACCCAAACAACAAAAAGAGTCCAAGCAAGAATTCTTCTGTGGAGACCAAACCGCCACCAACAGAGGAGGGCGAAGATGCCAAGTCTGTTGGCAAGAAGCAGCACAAAATAAGGAGGAAAATCATGATGGGGGGTCTAATGAGGCGAAAGAACAGAAGTATGCCTGATCTCAGGGAAGGACAGGAGAACGAAAAACAAAATTTTCAAGAAGCCGAGGTCCGGAGTTTGTCCCGACCGACGACACCATCCGAAAAGGCTATGGTGGGGTACCTTACTGAGGGTAAGGCCATGGCTGGGTATCTAAGTGAAGGCAACCTCGAATCTAGTGCCAACCCCAACCTTGAACGCAGCAAGCTCATGAGAAAGAGTTTCCATGGGAGCGTGGGGAAAGGCTTGCCTCCCCCGGTAGCTGCTACCAAAGTTCCTCCCCCCATCCCCCAACGCACGTCTTCCCAGCTTTCTCAGTCTACCCTACTCCCCCTGCCATCCGGGGATAGTAGCAAACTTCCCCATGATCATAAGAGTGAGCATCGTGCTCCACACCCGCTTCCCCAGTCCCTGGAAGTCCCTCCAGCTTTGCCGCCCCGCAGTTACACTCCTGAAATAAGCTCTAACGTCAATAATACTAACATCCGCAAAGAGCCACAATCTTTACCTTATAGTAGACGTGTGCATCAGTACGACAACATCAGTGCTTCACTGCACTGCCAGAACCTCAAACAAAATACAGAAACGCACGTGTATTCTCAACCTTGTATTGAACCCATCAATGATGGTAACCATCAGCACAAACCAGCGATGCAAGCCGAGGATAATCAACAGAATAACTTCAATTATGAGCAGACTCCGCAGTACGCTAATCAGTCACAATCTTTGATGAACTGTCATCAAAACAATAATGAATTAAACCAATACCAGCAACAGCAATTGCATAATAACCAATATAATAACAACTATGGTCCTTTTGACGATAACGTAAATAATACTATGCCGGATAACCAAATTTTGCAAGGATCCCAAGTGCAATTCAATAATCAAATGCCAATGTTCCAGAACCAACAGCAGGTGCACTACGATACATTTAATAATGAGCAGCAACAATTTTCCATGCCCCATCAATCTCCCAACAACGTTAATTATCAGGAAACGCAAAATTATGACCGACACTTTCAAACTGATTATAACTCGCACATCGCGCCAAACTCGCCAGCATCTGAGCCGCCAGCCACGCTCACGGCTCCCCCACCCACTGGTCCTCCCCTCCACTCCCGGCAGGGGAGCGAAGATTTTCCTCCTCCTCCGCCGCCCTTGGAAGAGGCAGTGGAAGATCTGAAAAACCGCGGCCTCCTACCACTAACATGCAGTAGCTCTCAGCCAACTACAAGTACCTCGAGCTCTACCCTAAACCATGCCAAACATTTCTCGGCTTCCAGTTCTGTCAGCAATTCAGAGCCACAGTTGGGCGGCAGCGACGGTAATTCACGTCAGGAAATTTCCTGCAGTGATGACGTCAGTGCTGCGAATACATCGAGCCTGCTTGCTCAGCTGCAAGACAAGAAGCAGCGTCTGACGTCTACTCAGCACAGAGACGCGTTCTCGAGTCATCAGACCAACAGCATGGAGAGAGACAAGACCGGCAGCGGGAAGCGTTACGCAATCAGCAGCAGCGGCAGTAGTTGGCTGCAGGAGCTGCAGGCGAAGCAAGCGGCCCTGCGACGAAGACACAATTCTACGTCGTCTGACGGTGAAGGAGCTGGATTAAGCTCAAACGACGAGCTATCGCTTGTTAAAAATCTCGCTAATAAATTTGAGAAAACAACCGTGAGTGAAGGAGTCGATGAAGTTGATTGCGCACCAGCCCAAATGAGGGAAAACTCGGAAGGTAAAATCAATCCTGAGCTTTTCAACCGAGAATATACGCAGTGCAACTCCCTAACCTTTACCTCTCAAAGCGGTCAAGTGAATCGTCTTATGAACAGTAATGGATCCAGGAACAGACTTGAAGGAACAGAAACCGGAATTCTGAAGCAAAATTCTACGTCTTCACTCAGGTCTGAGTCCTCTGAAACTGGAATCTTGAAGCAAGTGTCTACCCCTCTTCTCGGCAGACACTCTTATCCAACCAACTCAAATGGTGATGTTTCCGGGGCAACAGATGAGCCCAAAAAGAAGATGAAGAAAAGCGTTACTTTCTGCGATCAGGTTGTGTTAGTGGCTACTGCAGAGGATGAGGAAGAAGATGCGTATATCCCCAACCCCATTCTAGAGCGAGTTCTAAAATCGGCAATGACTTCTTCGTGTAGCGGTCAAGATTCTCCTATGCTGAGAAGAGCCCAACCACCGGAAGAACCCACAAATTTTTCACAAGATAACGGCAATAATTCGTTTGACTCGAATATCTCGAGGTCTAGTTGCAATTCTGTCCAGCAACAACCAGTTCGAGCAGTTCAACCTCCCCAATCTCAAAATCCGCAATCAAATGTCAAGCCAGGGTTGCCAGCCAATCGACTTTCCCACAGCACGACTAGTGCCCCCCAATATCGACCCCCGCCCCCCTATCAACCTCCTCCCAACCCAAATGTGTCCAATTGCCGCGTTGTACCAAACGGTGTGCCAGTAGCTCAGGTGGCGAATCATTCCAATCACCTCAATAATAGAAATGGGAATAATTTGAATGTATTACAATCGCAAGCACATGGCACAAGTCCTTACCAACATCCTCCTCCCCCCGCCTCTTTGATATCTGCAAGGGAGCCGAATGGCGGTAATCCCTCACGTACCAATAGTGGATCCTCTATGTCACAGTACCAACCTCCTCCTCACCCTCACGTTCTTCAAATGAGGCAGCAGCAAATGCAACAACATCAACAGGTGACCCATCAGCACCAACAGATCTCACCTCAACAGAATCAGCAAGTGCCGCCTCAACAGAACCAACAGGTGCCGCCTCAGCAGAACCAACAGATGCAACAGAAACTGAGGCCGCCACAACAGCATCAACATACAATATCTCGACCTGACTCTCAACCGATTTCCTCTGCAGACCCGAACTCGCGGGGACCTATAATGACCCGCCAGAACAGTAACCTAGGTGAACACACGCGACCGTATGGTGGTCAACCACTGCAAATGCCACCCTACCAGAAAGCCCCGTACACCTCACATATGGCAGCGCATTCTGAAGCTCAGAGACACGCACCCTCGACTCAAGCTGGACTCTACGTGTCCGCTCCTCCCAGGACAGGTTCACATGTCCCACAAGGTTACGGTAGCGTAGGGAGAGGAGGGGTCACGGTGCGACAACCTCATCAAAACGCACAAACACAGCAACACGTACAACAACAGCAACACGTACAACAACAGCAACACGTACAACAACAGCAACACGTACAACAACAGCAACACGTACAACAGCAACACGTCCAACAACAGCAACACGTCCAACAACAGCAACACGCCCAACAACAGCAACACGTCCAACAACAGCAACATGCACAACAGCAACATGGCCAACAACAGCAACTGCAACACGGACAACCGCAGCTACAAGGACAAGGCCAACTTTCTTATTCGGCACCATCTTCACAATCTTCGCTACCTCTTGTTGGCTCCTCTCAACAACAGCAAACTCCTTCTACCGGACCCGGACATTTTGCCGGACCTCTCGACCCTAACGCCATCTACTCAACCGTCAACAAAGGCGCCAAGAAAAGTCCCGCCGTAGTGCCTCCGTCGTCTGCTATAAGCCCCGCCCCCGCTGCACTTAAGACCGCTATTCAACCATGTAACTTATGTCACAAAAAAGCAGTATCTCCAACATCCGTTTACTGTTCCGACTGTAACTTTTACATGTCCAGATTCAAGCCCAAAACCTAAAACGCTAAATAACTAATTATTAATACAAATTGAACAAAGTAAAACCAGAAAAAAAAAACTTATAGTAATTTTTCAATTATTGAAGCTTGTGACCTGTGATATAATTGCGATCTCATGATTCCTATCTTTGTGCCATTCGTGACAAGTATTGACTAGCTCAATAGGGCAGCATAATATGTATTGTTTTCGCATTGTTTTCATTTAGCAGCTTGAACCTGGACATATTAAGTTACAGCTAAGGAAGTTGTTATACTAATCCGCAACATGAACGGCGCAACGTTCGAGGCTACTTTGCTTACTTGACGAACTACGCGTTTGTTTTTATAGCGGCTTTTTGTTGTTGACGATCTACTAGGCTTAATGCTTCTCTTTCATCCAGAATATCCTTGTAGTGAATTTTTTAGATCTGTTAGGTTGGTTTCCTCGAAGTACGATGTCTGCCAGCACAATAATTTAGGCTCATGAACTGGTCACCCATATCAGTCATGACAGTGTTTATATTTTTGTTGTGTTGTGACATCCTAAGTGTTCTTGGAGGTAAAAATATAAAGAGTGAAATCACCGGCCCCGCCATCTTGGAATTTCCGATCAACTCTTGGAAGTCGTAGATCGATGTTCTCAAGCCCAATGGCCGGGAGTTTTCGGGAATTATTTATCGATCTATATAGTGCAGCGAGATGCGCTGCCTTGTTAATAATATTTAATTGTTGTTTGGCATTACTGAATCTACTCGACTATTAGTATCATTAATTTGGTTGTAATTAATAAGATTGTCTCGCAGCGATGCGATCATGTCTTCTGTCTTTCGAGTTCGCTCAAATAATTTTGTGTTACGAAGTAACTTGCTACTAGAATAAGGTATAAATATTTCGCTTGTGCAACGGTTGTGTCGATGCCAACTCCGCTTGACGAACAGCAGTTGTTTTACCGATGCTTTTAGTAACTGACTAGAAAATAAATAACCTGACTTATTCCTGCCTTGACAGGAATTTGCCAGCATGTTCATGCTATATAATATTTTCGTTCTTAATGTCATTAGGTCCTCGGTTACGTAACTTACATTAATAAGAGCCGTTCCCGTCCAATTTCTAGATCGTAAACCGGGATGAAGCTTGGCATCAGCTAGACAAGTGCATTTTTTTCTCATGGTGTAGAATTGTTCATTAGATTGTGTTGTTTCATCATTATGTAATTGGATGTGGCGTTATATTGAAGCATTGTGAAGTGGTGGTGTTTGTGGTGGTGCGAAGGGAGGAGCGTGATAGTACCTTAAGGTTATGATGATCTCATCAGCTTCAATGTTGAAAAATCCGCTGTACGATAAACCTAGAAGCTATTTTTCTTTTTTCTTCGTTAATATTATGTTAAACCTTGAGAATTCGTCCGTACCCAAGTGTAAAATAATTTAATACGAATTATTATATACATGACATTGTTAGATTTTTTTTTACTTCTATTTACCGCGATTCATCAAGGTTACGGGCAATACCAATCAAGATCGACGTATGCATGACAACTAATTGTATAGAGGATAGATTCTCGGCATGTCGTAAGTGCCAAACCGTGCGTTGTGAGGTCGCCTCGTGGTGTACAAACTAACGTGTAAGCTTTGTACGTTTTCTACGTTCATATTTCAGCAATAAATGCAATGATTGATTCCCTGCTTCGTTTTTTTTCACCACCGATCCAAAAGGTATTCATCACAAATATTTTTACAGCACAACGACGAGTCCTCGTATTTGTACACGGTATCACAATATAGACAAGGACTGACCTGGTCATACGTAACATATTAATGAAATGATATTAACTCTCCGAAATTTATTCATATGAAGAGCTGCCAACAAAGCAACGTAAAAAGTGCTATTCTAACGAGTAAGATGCTAAAGTAATTACCAGTAAAAAAATATTCCCTAAAATTATTTGAGAGGAAGACATTGATTTGAGACAACTTATATGACAAACTAATTATTGCTGCAGCTACCTCCCATAATTATCATAATTAACTATCCATAACAACCATAAAAGAACTAAATTATGAAACATGCCACGATAACAAGAGCCCCGAACTACTTTGACTCGGTCACGAAAAGATTTATATTTAAACTGAAAAAAAAATTGAAACTTCAACACTAGTCAATTTCTACGTGTTGCTCTTTTCTTGTTTTGATTTCACAGAATCAATCATTTAAGCAGAAAATCAACAAAAATTCATAATATTTCAATAAGGAACACGGATTATGCTGATCTTTCAAAGAAGAGAAATAGAATACGAACAAGAGAATTTAAGTAGTAATCAGACATTGCAGACACCGCCATTACCTCTAGCTTGGATTACCACAAAAGCACCGAAAATTCAGGCCCGCTTGGAATTGAGCGAACAGGTACAGAGAGGCAACATTCAACAAGGCAAGTCATACTCGATGACCACGAAGGTTTACGAACTAACTAACTCCTATCTTGCTTCACTATATCCAATCACAAAATCAAGGTCGTAACGGGTTAACTATTTAATCGCGATGAGACGCGAATGACGAAGGAGGAATGCACAAGACTGGAATATCTGGTGTTCAATGGCTTGAAAATTAGTGAGGAATGTTGCCAAGTATAATAAAAAGGTTACCCAAAACCGGGATTAAAGAACGAGTAGGAAATCATATTAGCCTAACAAGGACCAAGCCCTTGTAGTTTCAGATCTATAGCCCACTAAGCATAACTGAAAAAGTTCTATTCTAAAACATCCTATGTATATCGCTTCTAGACACAGCTGCCGTAATTGAAGCCATCTGATCATATAATTATTCTAATTACAGGGCATGTCTTGAACGTTGAAAGCAGCCAAGCGTCGCGCAGGAGGATACGTCCGTCATTATATGGAGTCGTAAATCGAGTAACAATAATTAAATGTGATAGTAAGAGCAGTCTTTAAATAGTAAGTACAATGAGATTCTCAACCATCTTAAAACTAACCCGCGAGCAAGCATTATGGAAAAAGATCAATTCCCACCACTCTTGCGCAAAGCAATCGAGTGTGATCGACTCAAGGATAATGTTGATAGGTGAACATCAAACTGGTCTTTCTCTAGGCACTGATAAAACCAAAGAGGTTGATAAAGAAATTATTATGATGATTCCAGACAACTCGTTCACATATAACATCATGTTCCAGGAAAGAAAATATTTGAATTAAATTGAGAAATCGATCAAAGATTCTCTATCCTCACCCATGACGATTGAGCGATTTATGGCGTGCAAGAATTGCCCTGTTCAACTCAACCATAATATCAAATCAAGATATGAGGAGCGTGCATACATTCATCAAAGTATGGCGGGGTGCAAGATGGCTACGTTTCCTAAAGCTCTTGTTTCTCTTCTTTCTGATCGTAAGGATCCTTTTTAAGTGGCTCGTTCCCGGACTCTTTGGCCGCCAGTTTAGCGGCATCGACGGCCTCTTGTATTTCAGAGAAAATTTCCTCCATCTCGGTGCGGGTGCCCCAGGCTTTGAGGACGACGCCATCGTGGCTTACCAAATACTTGTAGAAATTCCACTCGGGCTCCACTGATGATTGTTCTGCACACAGTCCAAACCAAGTTAGCTCACAAAAAATACCCTTAGTGACATACCTAAAGTATTGTCCTCTAGGACCACATCCATTTGGGCTATGAAAAAATACCAATTACATTATAATACGTCCTCATACATGTTCTATAGTCATTTAAAACGCATCACTATGGCATAAAATAAAAACTTAACACCATATATCTCCATTACACCTAAGAGCATTTCCTGAATTTTGTGAGTTTGTCTACATTTTTGGGAGAATTTTTCATGATTTTTAACACATTGTAGAAGAAATCAACTCCATAATGGTGTCAAGCAAGTACTTCATGTTATTCCTTTATAAACTCTGTATTTGTCAGCATCTTAACTTTGGTGTATAGTTGAAATTCATATAGAAATTTCTCAAATTCAAATATAGAAAAATAACCTATTGGTCAAAAAAAAAAAACATTTTTTCTCATTCTCATGCAGTATGATTTAAATGCTATAACGTCAGAGGCTCATCAAGTCAAAGGCTCATCACGTCAAAGGCTCGTCACGTCAAAGGCTCGTCACGTCAAAGGCTCGTCACGTCAAAGGGCTCGGCACGTCAAAGGCTCGTCACGTCAAAGTCTCGTCACGTCAAAGGCTCGTCACGTCAAAGTCTCGTCACATCAAAGGCTCGTCCCGTCAAAGGCTCGGCACGTCAAAGGCTCGGCACGTCAAAGGCTCGGCACGTCAAAGGCTCGTCACGTCAAAGTCTCGTCACGTCAAAGGCTCG